GGTAATTACCTAGTAGGTTTCGTATGACCCCCCCCAATGAACACACCAGTGAGGGCGAGACGATCGAGGGGTCCCGTACCATGGTCCATGCGGATCGACCCTATCAAGTGCTCAAGTGCTCAGTAGGTTTCGTGCTAGAACCTATCCTCATTGCAGGGCCTGTTTGGGCCAAGCCCACCCTACCTACCTATCTGGGAGAGAGGGCAGACCCCCTAGGGAGGGTGGGAAGTATCACGAAACGATCGTGGCTGCATCACGAACGGCTGCGATTCAGCGGTCGCGCCGCTGAGCTCGACAGGCAACGGCGCCGCCGGAAACCCGCAGGTGTTCCCGATCTGCGTTCCGCCTTGCACGCCTTGCTCACTCAGACTTGGCCTCTCAGACCGGAGAGTGAATCCGAGATATTCCAGAAAGTTTTCGAATTGAAGTGTCGACACACCTGGTGTCTTGCCGTGAACAGGCGCTTTATCCACCCTATATTCTTCTCTCGTTCCTCTGCCCGTGCCTTGGTCTTGTGAGTCGTTGTTTCGCATCCATGTCTGTATGGCAGTCGAGGCTGCCTTCCCTACTACCTGTAGTTCAACTCGTCACCTCCCCCGCGAGCTCCCTTTTCTTTCTTTCGGGTATGGGGTCCGTGAGTGCGGGCAGCGTGCATGCAATCACGGGCGCTATTTTGTCGTACTCCTCTTCGGCGAGCGCTCCAAATCTAGACCCTATCACCTTTAAGGAGGCTGCCCTCGCTCGTCTCAGGGATGTGGCGGTGTCTTTTGAGTCCGGCGCCTCCCGTTCAACTCTTGCTGTCGCCCTCGCTGTGTGTTTGTCGAGCTTCCGCATGCAGTGACGCGCCTCTTCCTTGTTTCCAGCGCAGCTGCCGCTCAGTATGTGCGCCAACGACGCCTGTGGTGGCTCACTGTCTTCTTGTTTCCAGTCGTCCCAGTCTCTCAGTTCTCCGATTCTCCTCCTTGCCTCGCGCTCCTCTTTTGCGGTCTCATCCCTAGCCGCTTTGCACGCTCTGCATCCTCCCCAAAACGCACTTCTCGTGGCGGGGCCCCTCATTCCCCATTTCTTCTCCCCCTCTAGAATACGCCTGTGGTGTGCACCGTGTGGCACCCCTATGTTGTCTCACCCTGATGTAGCCGGGCGCCCGAGGCTTTCCTTGTTTTTCCGATCGTTGTCCTCTGGGAGCACTGGGCAAACAGGTTTTCTTGCATTCCGCCGCTGCAGAGCTCTTGTTGGGCCGCTGTTCAAGGGCCGCTGCTGGATGGGATCGAGCTCCAAGTCGCGGGGGTGGGTCAACGTGTCGGTGCAGACGTACCAGTCGCAGCGCAACAGCTCCAGCCGGATTTTGCAGCAGGATTACACAGTGGATGAGTCTGGCGCGACGCTGAACGCGCTCGCGCGAAACAGCGAGGGGCCAGAGGCGGAGGAGGCGAGGGAGGCGTCGGGCGGCGCCACCTCGATCCTGCTGCGCGACTGGAAGGCGCGCGCGCCGGCGCACACCTCATCGCGCTCCACCCGCGCGCGGCGCACGCGGCGCCCCCTTCCGAGAGCCCCTGCGCTCCCCCTGCCTCCAGCTCTCCGGCCGGCGAGCGTTTATCCGCTTCGACCGCGAGGACAACGTCTTCTGGTTCAGCCCGGTGATGGACGAGAACCGGGTGGCGAGCAGCACGCCCGGCTTCCCGTGCTCGCGCGGCGACGTCTTTCTCAAAGTCGGGATGCGCGGCGCGCGGCTGATCCCGTGGCGGCTGCAGGAGGGAGATATCTTCCGGCTGGGGCAGGCGTACGTGCTCGTGTCGAAGATCCGGCTGGAAGACGACGCCGCGACGCAGATGCAGCTGGTGCAGGACGCCGCGCTGCCCGAGTGCGTCATCGACGAGGACGAGCGCGACACGGACGTGGAGGAGGAGGAGGGCGACGGCGACCTGCAGCGGCCGCAGTGCTACATCTGTTACGAGTCGGGGTGCCACGGCAACCCGCTGCTCAACCTGTGCCAGTGCACCGGCACCGTAAAGTACGTGCACCTGCAGTGCCTGCAGCGCTGGATGCAGCCCGAGGGGTCGAGCGCTGTCAACACGCACTGCCCGATTTGCAAGGCAAAGTACCCAGAGTCGGCGCAGGCGATGATGATCCACTCGCCGGCGATCATGCTCGAGTCGTGGTCCAACCACCGCACGCTCAAGCTGCGCCACTGGATCTCCTTCAACCGCCACTCCACCGCCTCGCTCGGCCGCTTCTCGGAGCACAACGACGTCTCGATCCCGGACCACTCGGTCTCTGGCGCGCGCAGACCCGCCCCGTCACGCGACGGCGGGGTGAGCAGCCCGCCCTCACCTCGAGCGGCCTGTGAGCAGGCGAGCACGCCTTCATCATCCACCAGAACGGCCAGTTCTGGCTGCACGACCGCGAGTCCTCCAACGGCACCTTCATCCGGCTGCGCGCTCCCCTCAAGCTCGCCTTTGGCGAGTCGCTCCAGGCCCAAACGCACTCCCATCGCTCCAGCGCCCCCCGCCGCCACCATGCTGTCATACATTACGTACTGTCATCGGTTCTATGCGCCTTTCGCTCTGTTCGTCTTTTTTCGTCTACTTTCTTGTCTTCTTTAGAATGCTTCTCTCTGCTCTCTCTCGTTTTCTTCCTCTTC